GATTTTTTGTGGTGGTGATTTTGGTCCATTATACGGGGTTCGTTACAATGGGCACCAGCGATCCCCGTGACCCAAAATGGAATAAGCGGGTAAAGATAATGGATGGATGGATGGATATTTTTAAACATATAAATTGTTTTAGAAAATTTTATGGTGATATCAAGGCGATTCCACAATCCTATTCCCTGAATTACAACGCAGCGCTCCTTCAGACTAGTTTTAAATGGAGGTTTTACAAACATTTCCATTCCCTTAAGGTTATATTGACTCTCTTTTTTTTAAACAAATTTTAATTGAATATTATATTTGAGGGTAATATTTTAATGAGCTTTATACATGACTTGTAAAATACTATATTCAACCAAATCATAAAATTTTAATAATTTCAACTGATGAAATAATATATTTGTTGGCATAGCACTTCCTACTAATAATTCTTATAGTTCTTTTTGTAAAATAAAATTAGGGTTTGTAATTGTTTTGCATGCTTTTCCCCAAACTTCAGTACAGTAGATTAAATATGGAACAATCATTACATTATACAATATATACAAAGCTTTGTCATTCAAAAACTCTTTTACTTTATACAGCAACGCAATTGATTTTGTTATTTTTATTCGTAAGTAATTTACATGAGATTTCCATGTCAGCTTTTCATCAATAACAATAGCCAAACAAATAATTACATTAACTCTGAATTTCAGTGTTGTCAATTTTAAATGGGACTTTGATCATTTTATTTCTATTACTAAATATCATGTAGTTTGTTTATTTTCCAAATTTAATGATAACTTATTAAGTTGGAAGCAAGTTTGTATTTTTATGAATTCTGCCTGTATCATGTTAGCATCCATTTATTATCTTCACCCGAACAAAAAAATGTTGTATCATCTGCAAATAAAACACACTACAAAAGCCCTGACACATCAGCCAAGTCATTCACATACAAAATAAACTACTTTGGTCCCAACACAGAGCCCTGAGGAACTCCACATCTATTAACACAAAATTCTGATCTTACATAATTTACCTGTACAAACTGTCTCTTATTATTCATTACTCTTAGATGCAACCACACACCAAAATGGAAATCGGTACCTTGTTTATTTTTCAAGTTATCATGCTCCCAACATGCACTGGCAGACAGACAACGAATGGACGGATGGAGAGTATTTTCAATTCCCTATTTTTGCTCCGTGACGGTGTGCAACAAATGTGATAAAAGAGTTAGACACTGCAGAGACACCAGTTTTAAACAACTGATTTATTCCCACATTGCTCTGTTTATTTTTTTACATTCCTTCACTGCCAGAAACTCTGAGTGTTCTTCTTGTTCTTTAATATTAAAGCTAATGTTTTGTAGTCTCCACAATAGTTCCTATCTGTGAACAGAGCTGCCAGGTTGAGTTGGATGTAAGTCAGTGTGATTCCTCCTGAAGTCATGAGCCGATGATCTGTGTGTTTGTGTGTTGCACACTCTGCAGTCCTGACTTCATCACTTCTTACAGACTCATTTAAATGATTTCAGTTCTGCTGAGTGATGATGTGACCTCACATAGACCTTTAATGAGGACAGCTTATATCACCATCTCTGGCCTAGTTCCACACAATCCACGTGTGGGCTTCTTTTCTGTTTAAGTAAGACATTGAAAACTTTGGTGGGACCAGTTCAAACTGTATTTATCGGACTGAGACAGCAGAAGGGATGACTGTCTGAAATCTGTGAGGACTTGCTGGCTTCATGTCTCCAACATTCCTCCTTAACATGTCCAGATCTGCTGCTTCTGCACATGTGCACAAGCCCAAACCTCTGATACTGATCTGAGACTGAACAAAGCAGCAGGAACAAAAACTAATGTATCTTTTTTACATTGATACAACTGTAGAATATAAAAAGGGAATGAACCATAACATGTTCTAAACAACATTCAAAATGCTGGAAGAGATTTGAGCAATTTCATTCTTTGTAAATTTCTGTTCACATTAACAGATCTTTAAACAGACATGCAAGTCCTTATAGCTACCCCATAGTGGGACTAACAGTCCTCATAAGTCTGAGACCACCCTCTGGCTAACAACAAAATAAAAAATAAAAAAATCAATGTATGTACAGTATAAGGACTGAGAATGGAGACAAAAAATGCCACTCTACCCGAAATGGTTAAAAGGACTGATGATGTCCTTTGTGGTCCAAAGACACCGATTATTAACTAACAAATAATTGCTTTTGTCAGTTATTAGGGTCTGTAATCTAAAAAAGTTAAGTCAGGTCCTAAACGTCCAGAAGACCTGACTTAACTTTGTTAGATTTTTCTACCTGGATAATTGAGCATGCATCAGGATAGGGTCTGTAAAGTTTTCAAGAGTTTGAAGACCATTGTTCTTACATGCAGATGTGTTTGTGTGTGCAGAGTCTCCCTCAGAGCAGACTGGACGCCGGCGCAGTATGCCAGGCTCCTCTGAGAAAAACACGGCCTCCGTGGAGGCAGGATCCATCACTGCTGCACCTTTCAGAGTCACCGTGAGCACCGTAAGTTCACTTTGATCCATCATCTGTCTTCTCCACCACCTTCTCTTTGGCCTTAGCTGATAGAGCTATGGGCAGAAGGCTGGTACTGTTTGACCATGGATGATACTGATGAGTTTATGGATTCAGGAGACTGGCACTGATGGATCCATGGTTTAAGACACCAGTGTCAGGTTTTTAGGATGGTTCAGACCCAGAATGCAGACTGGACACAAGAATCTTGAAAAGGAAACTTATTTAACTAATAAAACAAAAATGCTGACATGGCAACAAACTGGGGCCTAAGGAGAAAACTCTGGGTGTGGAATGAAAGTCCTCCATCCATCCATCCAACATATTTACCTGCTTTTTCCTTTATGGGTCACGGGGGTCACTGGTGCCCATGTCCAGCAGTCACTGTACATGAGGCGGGGGACACTCTGGACAGGTCTCCAGTCCATCACAGGGACAAATAGAGACAAATGAGACAAACAACCATTCACTCTCTCAATCACACCTAGGGACAATTTAGTTACCAATCAGTCTAACATGCCTGTTTTTAGTCTGTGGGAGGAAACTGGAGAACCTGGAGAAAACCCACGTATGCACAAGGAGAACATGCAAAGTCCACACAGAAAGGTGCCTGGCCAAGATTTGATCCGGTGACCTTCTTGCTGAGAGGAAACAGCTCTGCCAGCAGGCCACCATGCCACCCAGAATGAAAATCCAACAATAGAGAACAAATGTGAAGATGGAAAGAAACTGGATATACAGAGCAGAGGAAATTGTGAAAGTGGAGGCAGCTGAGTTAATTGCTGCCTGAGACCAGGTGAGAGTGGCAGATTGACTGGAAAAACACTGGGGAAGCTGTCGGAGGAGAAATGAGAAATGATCCAGGGAACAAAGGGATGCTAACAGGAAAAACTACAGATAACATAAACACAAGAATACCAAACAAACAAACAAACAAACAAACAAAAACAACCCTAACAATAAAGTACAACAATCTTCGGACACAACTAACAAAATGCACAGTACATGACAACCGGTAAATAGATCTATTAATTGAGAAGGCTGGTACTAATAAAAACATAATTGGTTTTGAGAAGACTGCTTCTAACAGATGCATTTAAGAGACTAAAACTATCATAGCCATCATTCCAGGAAACTAGTACTGATAGGTCCATGGTTTTAGGAAGGCTGACTAGGTGTCCAGATGGACTGGGACTGATTTTAAACCATCCATCCATCCTTTATCTTTACCCGCTCCTTCCTTTTCGGGTGGCAGCGGTCACTGGTGCCCATGTCAAGCTGTTGCTGTGTGAGAGGCAGGGTACACCCTGGACAGGTCGCGAGTCCATCCCATGGCCACTGAGATGAACAAGACAAGACAACAAGACACTCTCACACCTAGGGGCAATTAGAGTTACCAATCAGTCTAACATGCAGGGTTTTGGTCTGTGGGAGGAAACCGGAGAACCTGGAGAAAACCCAGGAGAACATGCAAACTCCATCCAGAAAGGCCCCTGGCTGGGATTCCATCTGGCAACCTTCTCACTGGGTGACAGCACTACTAACTGCGACCCCGTGCCGCCGACTTGAAAGCAATTTACTGAAAATATGTCAAGTGTGTACATGCTACATTTATATGAAACAATCTGTCTTTTGTTGCTTTAATCATTTAGCATGTTTGAAAAGTTTCATAATGTGCATGCCCTCCCACACCTGTGCGCGCGCGCACACACACACACACACCTGCTCAGTCGTCACTGACTGACTCTCCTGTCAGACCCAAATGAAGAGCTCCTCAGTTTGTCACCTCAATGATGTTCTGCCATGTTTAAATCAGCAGATAAACAGTCAGGAAATGGAGCAAAAATCTGCCATGAGTCATCAGTTTAATGTATTTGGCAATTAGCAGCATTTATTTTCATTAGTAACAGACGCGAAGACAACAGGATGTGCAAACACTCAGACTCAGGACATTAAGGCCACAAACTCTTAGTTTCTCAAAAATGTATCTTCTATTTAAGCTTTATAAACTCTTTATTGCTGAGCTGACACATGACCCAAGTCAGAAGCTAAATTATATTAGTGTCCTACATAAATAGAAATAAATATGTTTGTTTTGGCTCTTTTTACATATTTAACACTTAAATATCTGTGAAAATGTCAAATGTATACAAAGAACAGATTACACTGCTTCTGAGTTGTTTAATAATATCATTTTATTCAATGAGTTATACTTGTAAAATAAAACAAATTTTGGGAGTACCTCTGTTATTGTTAGCTGTTACATCTTATGTCTCTGCTCATGACTTTTTGATTGATTATTTTATTTTATGCACCTACTGGAGAATTTAAAAAAAGAAAGAAGTTGCAGCTTGTGGTCAGATGGAAGAGCAACTCGTTGATTTACTGTCTCTAAACCAGATACTTAACTTCTTTAGGGGAAATAAAGTCCAAGAAGCTATGCAGAAAAATAATCCAGATCACATTACCACGTTCCTCCCACCCACGTGATTAACATTCATCATCTGATTCTGACTCCTGCATAAAAAACTTCCTCCACAGATACTGAAGCCTGTTTCTCATGCAGTTTCTCTCATGCTGCCTCCTTCTGGTCTTTGCTGGTTAAACATCAAAACCACCTCATTATTTGAACTTCACCTGGATTTATCACGTTTCTGCTCAGATTAAAGATGAATAAAAAGGTGCTTTAACTGAGGCAGAGGTTAAAACCTCAGGTCCATCAGAGAAGACCTTTACAGCGTTTGCTTCCTGTTTGTGTGTTTAGTGGTGGATGAACAGATCCATCTCCATCCTTCTCCTCTCCTCCGTGACAAACTTCTCTCCTTCTAATAAAAAGAGCTGCGATGACATGTGAAGCACTGAACCTCAGCCTTGAGCTAAATCTGTCAAAATGTTTTTCTCTCCTCTGTTTGCAGAGACTTCACTTTCTGCACAAACACCAGCAGAGAGCAAAGAGGAAAATGAAACCTCTTCAAAGGCTGATTTCATCATCAGGACTATTATAGTTGGCTTCTTCCACCTGATCAGTGATCGGTGAAACCAAACACAGACTCTGACTCTGTCCACGATCTGACCAACTATTAATGTGACTTTACTGTTTCTCCCTGCATTTCATCTCCTCCCAAATGGAAGCAGGAGGTCTAATTGTACCCATGTGTCCCTGTTTTTATCAGGTTACGTTACAGGATCAGCAGAGGTTCTTGTTAAAGCAAAGCTAATCCTGCTGATTGTTCTGCTTCTGACTCAATCAGCTAGCATTAAAAACCTGTAGCTGCAGAGCCAAGGGGATAAAATTAACCTGTTTCAGACAATTTTTTTTCTTTATGACAAAAACAAGGCTCTGTGAAAACACTGAACTCTGGTTTAATGGATCTGGACAGGCTGAGATTACAATCAAGTATGCAGCTCTGTTGTTGTGTACTCCCCCCCCCCACCCACACACACACACACACACCCACCCACACACACACACACACACACACACACACACACACACACAGAGAGAGAGATTTGTAATGAAGGAACACAGTAAACAGTAAAAAAGGTACTTTTGTAAATGTTGATGCATTCCTTCAGCAGATTCCCTTTAGACAAGAGCAATCAGACAAACAGAAAGTTTGTCAGAACCAGAAACTCCTCCATATTGAAAGTGTTCACATTTTATTCTCTGTTTTTCCCTGTCAGACACTGAAAAGTGGAATAATTGGTGTGACTCACACATGTGAGAGCAAAATCCTCTGGATGTTTGAGGAAAAACAACAGCAAGGACACTATGTCTGTATAGATACTCACTTTCTGATAGTCATGACGTTTCTTGAGATACTGTTAAAGGTAAGGGAATATTGGAAAAGAAAGGACAGGACAGGAAGGGGAAGAGTTGGTGTAGTCAAGGGTCAAGGATTGGTGCGATGAGGACCAAGGAGGAAGGACAACTCCATGAAAATGTACATTTTAATCAGAGAAAAAGCTGACAAAACAGCAACGGGACAAATTAAAGATAGCAGGGAAGAGCAAGTTGACAGGATGGAAAACTCAACAACAGCCCTATTTGCACAGGATTAGTTTTACCTAGGGACACATGCTATTTGTAATAATTACTGAGATTGTCTGTGTTGTTAATCCCATGCAAATCCGCCATGCCAGTAATGTGTAAATTAAAAATTCCCCCGCACATTACCTACTATATTTTGCTGAACTCCAAGGTCCTATGATAATACTAATCCAATGTGAATAGACATCTCTGTGATTTGGACAGAAATGAGCAGGATCCAATACATAATGAGGTGTTTTTGTTTCTTGGGTGCATTTTTATTTGCTTTTGGCAAAGGAGGTTGCATTGGAGTGCATAAATAACCTTTTGTGTCCTGGCACAGCAAAAGCCTATCGACCTGTAACGGTCACCAAAAAAAAAAAGAAAAGGCTGAAGAGAAGGAACAAAATCATGCAAATGGTGGCTCACATCATGCATTGCTTTGTGTGGTAAGAATCATTTTCTTTTGTTTGTAGACTTATATACAGCTGGCTAGCGCTGGCAGTAACACAGCACTGAGCTGTGGCCGTAGCCTGAAAAGTAGTTTTAACATCAACTCACATCATTCATGTCATTCCTCGGATGTTACGCAGCGTGTTAACATCATATCCGGAAGATGTCTGTAAATTTCAGTTAAATTTCAGGCTTTGATTATCCTGTGCGAATGTGCCACATAAAAAGCAAATGTTGGGGAGTAATTTATTTATTACATGTGGTCCCAAGGTAAAACGAATCCCATGCGAATAGGGCTAAAGGCTAAATCAGTAGCAAAACAAAAGATCCAAAGAAACAAGGTGCAACAGGAACAAAATAAAAACAGTGGACTACAGTTGGAAACGCTTGTCATAAATAAGACCTAATAGTTTCTGCAGAATGAATAATAAAATAACTAAAAAATGGTTTATGTAAAACTGTCTGTTTTACGTTTTCTGCAATAATTATATCAAATATTTGTCCATTTTGATTTCCTGTTGCACATTGACCATAATGATTTGAGCTGTAATTACTGTAACAGTGACACGTCAGCAGATTTATTTTCCAGGAGAGAGGAGAATATCCCTTTACTGCATCACGTGATGATTAAATAGAGCAACGCTGTCATAAATATTTGATTACATCAGCAGGGCATGTTGAGAGTTAATGGTATGATTTAATTTGTCTTCATCTTTTCTAAGACTGTCGGTGGTGGGCACAGTTAACCAAATAGTTAGCTTCGCTTACCCATATTTGGCTAATGCAAAAATCAGCTTCACAAACGCTAAACCTCTAAATAGGTACAAACAATTAGCAGAGGCTAACGCTAAACTGCTAACCACTAAGACGAATGTCAGTGTCCGTTACAAGACTTTGTCTTCTTTATGTTGAGGCTGCGTCAACTAATCACATCTTGTCATGTGTTCACGTAAGTCAATAACGTAACGGACTCTTCCAGACACACCCACAGCAGACAGGAACAAGCTTGTTAATTTTGTTAACGGACTTAAAGTTGGTGAAACCTAATTAACCGATAGCTAAATACATTAATGGTTTTCAAAATGAGCAAAAATGCTGATCTACTAAACGAAAAATTATTAGCTGCTAGCGGATTAGCGGAACTGTGCTCCCCACTGCAAACAGCAATAAGAGCTGAGGCTAAAATAAAACTATTTGATTCTCCATCCATCCATCCATTATCTTTACCCGCTTATTCCATTTTGGGTCATGGGGGTCGCTGGTGCCCATGTCCAGCAATCACTGTGCGAGGGGCGGGGTACACCCTGGACGGGTCGCAAGTCCCTCACAGGGCCACATAGAGACAAACAACACAAACAACCATTCACTCTCTCACTCACACCTAGGGACAATTTAGAGTTACCAATCAGCCTAACATGCATGTTTTTGGTCTGTGGGAGGAAACCGGAGCACCCGGAGAAAACCCACGCATGCACGGAGAGAACATGCAAACTCCACCCAGAAAGGCCCCTGGACCGGGGTTTGAACCATGGACCTGCTCGCTGAACGGCAGCAGCTCTACCAGTTGCGCCACCGTGCTGCCCACTATTTGATTCTATTCTTGTTTAGTTTTTCTGCAGATTCTTTCTGCTCTGTTGAGTTTTCATCTGATGGTGACCTCATCACACATTTACTGGACTTTTATATTCACTTTCTTTCTCACTTTTATTTGTTTTTGTCTTCCACCATTTAATTATTGCAGTTCCAGTTTTTAAATGTCTGCTCCTGTAGATCAACCCTTTCTAACAATTACTGTCAATTTCTCTGTTTTTGCTTTGTCTCATCGATTTGCTGTTTCATATCTATTTGCTGTTTCATATCTATTGCTGCTGCTGTTCTTCTACTTGAGGTTTTTGTTCTGATTAAAATACAGCCTTACAGTTATTAGTTCAACCATGTTGACCTTCAACATTCCTAAACGCTCTCTGTTTTGACAGGCTGGGTGAGGGAGATATTCCTGTTTTACGTGTCACACAGCTGACCATGATCACTGCTGATAGTTAAAGAGACAGATAAGGAGATTTATTTCTGTTTTTGTCTTAATCTTCTTATTCATCACTGAGGTAAAAGGTAAAAAAAATAAAACAGACGGGTACTTTAATCACATAAGTTTTCATTTATTGACTTATATCAGAGGTGCAAAAGATAAACATTTGAATTGATAATGGGTTGGGTGGGAGGAGTCAAACCGTATGTGGGAAGAGTCAAATAGTCACTGGACTGGGTGGGTGAAGTCCAAATAGGTGGACTCTATTTCTGGACAAGGTGGGCGGAGTCAAACAGTCCGGTGGATCTAGAGATTTTTCTTGGGGGTGGCAAAGAAAGGACAAGATTCCAGCAGTTTAATGCAGGGGAAGTTTTAGCCTTAACTTCATTAATTCAAGTTATTTGTTTATGTACACAATTTACACAAATTACTGTACACAAAAACAACACTGAAATTTCTGCAGTTTTAGCTTCTCTCCATTTGAAACAGAATGTGTGAATTTTAAAGTGATCAGCGGAAAAGTTATGGACTTTCAGGGTTGCACGCATTTTTACAAAATTATTGTAGTGACTAGCCTAAAAAACGTGGTGGCAACTGGAGTGGCAAAATATTTTTGACAGTGGAAGCTGCCACTTTGTGTCACCTCCTAGATCCGCCACTGGTGGAGTCCAGCAGTCTGGACCGTTCTGCTGCTGTCCCAAGTTATTGCTCCACACTCACACATTTTCTTTCTTTATTTTTAGTAAAACCTAAAAGAAATTAATTTGTCTCTGTCTGTTTCTGCACCTCTCCTCTCGGTTGCTCGGTCTCTGTGTGAGGTACCAGTTACCATGGAGACAGTGAGGCGCTTCAGAGAGACTGATTACAGATGTTGGAAGGAATAAAGCATGTGAGGTCTTACCAAGAAGGATCAGAAAACTAATTAAAGACCTTATTTAATGCAAAAATGTCTCACACACCAACGTAATTCAGGGTGTAAAGTTTATTGTCCAATAAATCTGTGCTGTTTGTTCATTACTCAGAGTCTATCCACCAAGGTCAAAGGTCACTGCTACGTGTCCATTTATGTTTAGAATAAACTCTGTATTTATTAGAAAGATAGAACAAGAAAAACAGTTTCCTGTCTTACAAAATATTGTGCCAAACTTTTTTTTTTATATGCTTCACTGGCTCGTTTGACCTCTTTGTGGCATGGAGTGTTCATCTTGGCATGAATAGTTCCCATCCTGCAGCTTAAATCTCTGAGATGAACCAGTTCTGACGCCGTTTCTCTGACCATCCTTCTCCGTCAGGGCTTCCTCAGTCGAAAGCTGAAAGGATCCATTAAACGCACCAAGAGTCAACCCAAACTCGACCGGAACTCCAGCTTCAGACACATCCTGCCTGGGTTCAGGAGCTTTGACAATGACAGGTAGGACTGAGCCCATTACACACCGCTTCTTTCATCCTGATTGTTCCTTGGTTTAGTTGGACCTCCTGGTTCTCTATCATTCTCCTCAACACTTCTGCTTGTTGTAATAAATCATCTCAATGCCGCTGATCCATTTCAGACTGCAGTTTTTCCTCCCACCTGCTGCTTCTCAGTTTCTCTGGATTGTTTTCATGAACCTTCAGTGTTCATCTCACATACCTCAATAAGAAAAGAGACTGAGAGGAAAATGAAGCTTTCTTTTCTCTCCTGTAACACAGAAAACACTTCTCAGCATGGAAAGGTTGGAGACTGCACATGTTTCCAGGAAGTTGACAAAACCAAAATGCCTTGTTAGAACATGTTGGGAGGCTGAAGTTTGTGGATAATTATGTAAAATACAATCAGAACTAAAGAGTGATGCACATTGAGATGACCCCCCCCTCCCCCCATAACAACACCACCTCACCACTCGCAGCAGCAGGATTACAGCTCCGGTTGTGTGTGGTTAGGGGGGTGCTGAGAAAGTACATGTAGAAAGAAGACCTATTTCACTGAAATATTTTCTTGAAATGTTGACCAGATTTTGGATTTTAGTTTTAAAAATGCAACAGGACCCCTGGAAACAGAAGTTTAGAGGAGACAGCCTGAAGGTTGTGGATTTTGTTCATGTTGCACCATCTTTTCCAGCATATAAAACAGATATTTGTATTTTATCTCTTGTAGTGTTTAAAGTTATTGACAAAAGAAAATCTAATATATCTCATCACTTCTGGCATTGTACTGAACTGGTAAAATGTCAGCCGGTCAGTTTGTGTGAACTAAATAATGATAAGTTACTGAACTTTAGTGTGATGCTGCAGTCAGCTGAAGCTAAATCATGATCTGATTTTCTAGATCAGGGGTCTGCAACCTGTGGCTCCGGGGCCACATGTGGCTCTTTGGTCCTTCTGCAGCAGCTTTTTCAGGCTTTGACCAAAACTAACATAAAACTGAATTTTATTTAAATTATTACCAACAATGAAAAACTGCTAATTTTATCAGATGTCCTGTCATTTTCAAATATGTGAAAAATGGTACAAATACAAGACGAAAACATGTGGACTACACTCAGGTCTCTCTTGAAAATGAGTCCTCGAGGCTCAATGGGATTTACCTGTCTAAATAAAGGTTGAATGAATGAATCATGCTAGTAGTTTGTTAGCCACTTTAAGTCGACTTCAGTCTCACAGCATGATATTTCTCTCAAAACCACCAAAATCTTTTGGAATATCTTTAAGACAAGTTGCTGAGAAGAAGTAACTTTGATGACACTAAAAATAAAACACAAAAAAACAAAGTCATAGTAAACCAAAGTGTTTATTTTTCTTTGAAAATGTGACTGGATATCCAGCAAACTGGCCTGATTTTATTCTGTCTTTAACTTTCTGCTTTAAGTCTGATACTTAATTCTTCAACAATGAAGATAACTCACATCGGCCTGCAAAGTTCAGTGTTTTAATGATTATAAAATTGTTAAAAAGTACTTTTTTTTTACATGAATCTGGTCTTTTATTTTGTATTAAAATGTAAAAAATCAATAAATGTTGATAATAGTTAGACATTTTTTGTATACCCCCCCCCCCCACACACACACACACACACACACACACACATGCACACACACACACACTGGCTGGAAAAGCTATTCCCAACAAACTTGTAGTGACCCATGGGCCACCAGTTGACAGTGCACAGTTGTAGCAGGTAGTTAGTAAGCAAAGTGACAAAAATGGCTCCTTTTATTGCAACGCTTGCAGACCCCTGTTCTAGACTTTAAAAATATTCAGAATGGAGATTCTCTGCACTCAAGGAAACTTGTCATTAACGCTGTAATCAGCCTCATAAACAATGAACAAATGAAAGTGTCGCCTGTCGTCTTGTCATGCAGTCAGTCCCAGAATGGGTTGGAAATGACTCTCAGCTACTACCACTTTAATATTATTCACATGTCAGTAAAATAAATACAAATATATTTTTAAGATTATCTGCTGTAATAATACAGTTTTGTTTTTTACTTTATTTATTTTTAAAGCAGTGGCTTTGCTCATCTTGTTGGCTCATTGTTAGAGTTTACAAAAATGTTGCTGTAGTTGAGAAACTTACGTCTGCAACACGAGCACAAAAATGAAATCTGTGATGAATCAGTGGTAAATCAGACAGGAGGGATTTTTGTTTTTTAAAAGGCTGTTTTTAGGCTCTTCCACAAAAGAATTTTGTGTTAATTGGTAAATGATTTTCTCACTCTGAAACTTGCTTTCATAAAATATTTTTAATAACTCCTACAAGGCCACAGTGTGAAAACAAGGCTGTAACAATAAAAAAAAAAAAAAAAAAAGAAGCATATTCACAAAATACCATTCCAGTGCGGACAGGCCATAAATCTGCTTGGTTACTGCAGACGTGCATCTATATTTTGTTAAACATTTTTAATAACTGAGCTGAACTGGACAACTGAGTATTTATCTGATCTGAACTTAATTGAATCCTAATTAATAACCTTTATTATTAACTTTATCCCAATATGATCCTGTTTTTGGTGAGTTTTGGAACGTGTTTTGTGGTTTTGTAGAACAATCTGTGGCTGAACCCACAAGTTCTTGAAGCTAACAGGTTTATTTTAGATCTTTGCAGTAATTTATGAGACAGAATTAGTTTTGAATTTTATGCATTGTGTTTTTATAGCTTCAGATTAAAGCTGGACAAAGGTGCACCAAAGTTCATGCTCAATAATCCAGGTCAAAATCCAACAATGTTCAGTCAGGTCATCTGGACGGTTTCTTGTTTTGCTGAGACTTTTCGTCCTTCATCCAAAGGACTTCATCAATCTGAGGAGCCACAAACAAACAGTCCTACAAACAGCACACTCCATAGTGAAAAAAACAAGAAGAGGTTCTATGCAGACCAAAAGTGGGCATTTCTATATCCTATTTGTAAAAAAAAAAAAATCGGTGTAACTTTTTATAACTGTTTATTGTTGTTGCTGTTGTCCATTGTTGTCATCATTCTTTGTTGAAATCAGGTCTCTCTTGTTAATGAGTCCTCGAGGCTCAATGGGATTTACCTGTGTAAGTAAAGGTTGAATGAATGAAAAATAGGCATTTGTGGAGGGCAAACACTGATTGGCTAGCTGTATTTGCTGGCTCTTTAGGTAAGTTACATCAGCTCTTTTTTTTTAACTGAAGGTTTCTAAGAAACAGCGTTATATCTGCTGTCAAACACAATAAGATTCTCTTTTGTTCTTGGGTTGTAGGCTGCACCTGACACAGATTGGCTTGAGTGTGGTCTGGGTACAATGAAATATGAAGCATCAGAAGCAAAACCTGCTCCTATTTGTCAAAAAGTCTGGTCTCAAAGATCATGAGTCCTGTGACGAGATAATGGCCCAAAACAAACGCTAAAAACAAAATTTGCTCTTTAGAAGTGCTCTTCAATGAGATCTGATCTATGAAAGGAGCTGAAACATGGAGTAGAATTGACCCTTAAAATGTGAGGCAGCTGAGGAAGTTAATCAGTAAACAGAAATACCTGCTCCAGTTGCAGAAATCTTACAGAAACTGACAATCACTCATCTGCAGTGACTGCTTTAAAAGGTTGAACAAGAAAATGTGACATGAAAGGAAACATCCTTTGTCCCAAGACCAGTTTAAGTTTTCCAAGATGGCGCCGGTGTGTAGGGCTGCCCGTCTCTCGCTCTCTGCTTGTATTTTATTTTTGTTATTTTTACAATGGTTTGTGCAGTGTGCTGAGTCATATTTTCAGTATGATCGTCGGGCACTTTTGGAGCTCCGTACTTTTGCTGAAATTCCCGCGGAGTTTTTGAACAGCGGCCATCACTCTCCCCCACCGGTCCTATCTGAGATTCCTGCGTTCCTTCTGCGTGACCCTGGCCTTTCTCCATGGAGGAAACGTCGCAGACGTCGTGGGAAGCGTGCAGGGATTTTGGTGAAACTGAGGCAAAGTGTGGATTATTCTAACAGGACTCGCTCTGGATCTGATCATCTCCTCTCTGACCCGTGGTGCTCCCGGGGCCCGGCTGCTGGCCAGCTGCCCGCGCGCTCAGTCCATGGAAACACCTGGAGTTGTTTACCTGTGCGCCGCACCAGCAGACCAGGAGGAGCTGTTCTTCATAACCTGCGCCCGCTGGCGCGCGCGTCTCCCTCCACGGCTGTGCCTGTGTCGGACAATATCAGGATGTGTTTAATCAATGCAAGGTCTGTTTCCAACAAGACGTTTATCCTCAATGACTTTTTTAAAGATGAGGAGTTGGATTTTCTGTTCGTCACAGAATCTTGGATTTCTGATGGTGAGTCCAGCGCCCTGGTGGAACTACTTCCTCCGGACTGTGTATGTTGCAATGACCCACGGCCATCAGGTCGGCGCGGGGGGGGATTATTAACAGTTTTTAAAGCAAACTTTGCGTGTAAACAGTTGTCCATCCCGATGTCCCGCGCCAGCTTCGAGCTGAGCGCCTTTGAACTTGGACACTCTCCTCCGGTCCTGTGTGCGCTCATCTACCGCCCACCTCGTTCTAAGGACTTCATAAATGAATTCTCTGACTTTTTGGCTGATATCACACAGAGATACACTCACTTTTTGCTTATTGGTGACTTTAATTTGCATGTGTGTTGTCAGGAGAAGCCCTTAGTGAAGGACTTTCTGGATTTATTGGACTCTTTTAATTTAGCTCAGCAGGTGAGCGGCCCCACCCAGGAACATGGTCACACGCTGGACCTCGTTTTAACACGCGATGTCTCTGTTTCTAATTTGAAAATCGGTGACAATGTTTTTTCAGATCACATGCCTGTATTGTTTGACTTCACCCCCCCTTGTCATACTGCTAAGACGCGCGTTCCTGCACGTACGCGTTCCATTAACCATTTCACTGCTGCTCGTTTTAATGAAGGTTTTAATTCTGAGAGGATCGAACAGCTCTCGGTGTCTCTTACCACTGAGGAGCTAAC